TTCACCATGATGACAGTGAACAGCTTGCTGTATGAAACATCTCCTGCAATCTGTACTGACTGCTTACTTATCCAGACTAGGAACCATAAGGACGGATATATACTTGGTTGTTCTTTCCACCCTTTTTTCTCCTTCAACCCAGAAAGAGATAAAAGAATATACGGAGAACAATCCAAAAATAATCTTGTACTGTGTGTTCCTGATTTTTTGAGGGGAAAGAACTTTCAGTCTACTTCTTTTATTTGTTAAGTTCTAAAAAAATTTTTTTACAAACGTAAAAAAAAAAAATCTTACTTCCTAATTGCCACACGTAAAATCAAGTACCTGGTTGTCACGATATACTGAATGGTGCCTGTATTTTCTTATGCAGTTTTATGTAATCCTGGAAAGCTTCATGACTAGTTAGGCGGGTCAGTTGCAATAAATGCAGTTCCAGAAGACTTGCACACTGACCAATACTTGAGACAAGTTGTTTGTTTGTTTACCCTCAGACCTTGTAGAACAGATGAGAACAGACCATTTACCCACCTCCGATTGCTTTTGTTTTCACCACACAATGCTCCTGCCAACTTATGCTTCATTTGTGATCCAATTATGAAAGTCAGGTTATCCTTTCCCACCACCCAGAAAATTGTTATTAATATACATATGAGCAGCAAATAAAACAGAAGGCATAACCAGCATAATTAGCTTATCTATTGCATTGCAAACACCACCCTGGACTTGTCACCGCATGAAGGGGTGGACAATTTGTTACTACTGAAACCTGTCAAGGAGGCTTTTGAGTACAGTTTTACTCAAGCTTCAACAAGAAACAACACACTCTGCACTACTGACATGTGCTTCAGCATTCTGATACCAAACTGAAGGACAAAAATTGAAATTGGTTTGTCCATTTAAAGGGTTAATGACAATGTTTTGTCTGTTTTTATTTTCCCCTCCCCTAAGAACCTACTTTCCATGGTAAGAGCAATTCAGCAATTAGTTTCGTGTTCTGTTTTTTTACAAGACAGCAGTATAAAAAAAAAAATTCAGTCGTTAATGATGTTTAATACCTAACTAGAGACAATAGGAGAAAAGTAAGGCGAACCAATGTTTCCTCCACATCTTCCAACTCCACACATTTTGTTTCTATTTATGCATTACTGAGGATCAGACATTGTCAAAGTTTCTTCGATAGGATCAAGCATATGAGCTGTAAGATGCCAACTCCCTTGGCATCCCAAAATGCCTTGTGCTAGTACTGTTCTTGGATGGCCATGCAGCAGGACTCATGACAGTATTCAGCATTCTGTGCCACAGTGGTCACTGGTACAAATCAGACAGCATGTATTTGTTCGCCATGAAACCAGATGGACTCTGTGCATCAGGGAGCTTAGGTCACCACAGATGCTTAGAACTAGAAACCTGAATTATTCATCTATGCCAGGTAATCTTGTTACAAGTATGTCTCCCCTGTGAGAAAGAACAGAACAGCCTAATCATTCTGCAGAGCACTTATCAGAGCTACCAGATTTCCTCTCACTCCACAATTGTTCTAACTAGAGACCCAAGTGTGAGTGTCTAACCACAAACAGTATCTTGTGTGGAGACTATGCTCTTTGCTATTACATCACATTTAATAAATCTGCTCTATGCAAAACTCTGCCCTACAATAAGGAAATGAGTGGAAAGGGAAAATAATTAAGTTCCATACTCACCGAGTCATGCACACTTGTGACTATGGCTATGACTCACCAAGTCATGCATGTAGAGGGCACATGGATATTGAAGCCCAAGTCTTAGGAGAAGCAGCTGAGAGCTAGGGTTGATTAGTCTGGAAAGGAGGCGGCCTCTCTACAACTACCTGAAGGGAGGTTGTAGAGAGGTGAGGGTCAAACTTTTCTTCAATGTAACAAATGATGGCACAAAAGGAAACTGCCTCAAGTTGCATCAGGGGAGGTCTTGGGTATTGGGAAAAAATTTATTCACCAAATGTATGGTCAGGCATTGGAAGAGGCTCCTCGGGGAAGTGATGGAACACAACCCTGCAAATGTTAAAAACATGAGATACTGTGTAATGGTTGACCTGGCAATGTTACGTTAACAGTTGGCCTTAATCTTGGAGGTCTTTTCCAACCTTACTGATTCTACAGCAAACTGGGAATCACAGAATCAGCTAGGTTGGAAGGGACCACAGTCAGTCATCTGGTCCAACCTCCCTGCTCAAGTAGGGCCATCCTAGAGTACATGGCACAGGATTGCATCCAGACTGAGTACCTCCAGTGAGGGAGAATCCACAACCTCTCTGGGCAATCTGCTGCAGTGCACAGTGACTCACATAGCAAAGCTCTTCCTTATATCCAGGTGGAATTTCCTGATCATCAGTTTCCACTCGTTACCTCTTGTTTTATTGCTTTGCATCACTGAAAAAAGCCTGGCTCCATCTACTCGGCAACCCTCCTTTAGATACTTGTATACATTAATGTGGTCCCTCTATCATCTCTTCTTGAGACTGAACAGGCCCAGCTCCCTCAGCCTGTCCTCCTAACAGAGGTGCTCCAATCCCTTAATTATCTTCCTTGCCTTCTGCTGGACACACTCCAGGAGCTTCATGTCCCTCTTGTACTGATGAGCCCATAACCAGAGAATGCAGAAGTTATTGCAACTGTAGTTGTAAATTACTGTCCAAGGCAAATAAAATGCACATACCACTTTGAACACAAAGGAACAGAGTAAACAGAGCCTCAAATTGGAAGTACAGACTAACAGAAGATCTGCCACTCCTCTCTTACCTAGTATTACTGTCAAACAATTCTGGTGACATTAATCTAGAACAGCTTTAAAGATTAAGGTGAAGTCTTGAGTTGACTGCCAAGATTCAGCCATCCTCCTGGGCTGAGTCATGTGAAATCCTTACTTGGAAAAGTAATCACAGCATCCCCCTTACATATACAGTAACCGCACATTCTGCAATGCAACAACAGACATCTGAGACAATGCAAAGAACATGTTCTCAGCCTGCAGCAGAAGAGCTGTTTCTATTTAGCTCACCATCAGTTCATTCTTACGCTAACTTAATCTGCACATATTTTAGACTGTTTATGAAATGCTGTATTGCTCAATACAGGGTGCAGTACACAGTTTTAAGATCTCAAATTACGCTGCTTCATCAGCAGCACTGCCCCCCAAGGTTATCATGAGGTGCCGGGAACTGAGACCTGCAGTGATAATGGTGGAAGGATCTGCGCTTTGCTGCCTGGGGGAGGCAGCACCAGCATGCCTGACACAGGGGTTTGGGCCTCACAGTGGCATTTAAGAGCACTGGAGTTCAGTTCTCAGTCTGTTTCCATTTATACTTTGCTTTGTTTGGCCATCTGGTCTATTCATAACAGGGACTACACAAAAGAAAAAAGTCTTGAAATATAAGCAGCTTCTAAGCTTCAGTCCTAGCAGAACCGATACCACATTCTACATCAATTCAATACACATTGATTTCTGCATAATTGATCATTTTATTGGAATCTATTAAA